GGCTGAGGCAGGAGAATTGCTTGAACCCAGGAGGGAGAAGTTGCAGTGAGCTGAGACTGTACCGTTGCACTCCAGCCTGGGTGACAGGGTGAGACTCCATCTCAAGAAAAAATAATAAAATGTTAGAGAACACATTGGAATTTACTAGTACGTAACTGGTTTTATAAGAAGCAGCAGTGGTAGCTTTCATCTCCCAGTCCAAGGCCACTTTTGGGCTCTGTATTGGTCAACAAGCTTGCTCTTGGTGTGTCACGTTGTCCTCATGTTTCATCTTTGGCCATTGAGTTTTATTTTGATTTTTTTTTAACCCCCTTTTGGTCTCTTGGGACAAATTTATGATTTACCATAAATACATACCATTCAATCAAGTATATTTTGCAACTCCATTTCATTGTTATTGTTTGATTTGCTTCCATTCCCATTAATGCTTATTTATTCCCACATAGCAGTGCTACAAATGGGAAGTCAGAGACCATCACAGCTGATGTCAATCACAAGTAAATATACCAGCCTGCCTACAGTGCATGGTGATGGGGCTGTGCTTCCCTCCATACTAACTGGCATCGTAGTTTAGTGCTCTGCCTTTTGGGGGTCTGGAGGGAGGATGGTTGAAGCTTTGGTGTGGGTGCACTGCTTACTTGGTGGCAGGTATCTCTCTGGATAACACTAACTCAGAATCTTGTTGCATGCTGGAAATGGGGAGCATGCTTTACTAAAGAATCTGACCACAGGTGTTAGAACTGGAACTGACAAATTTTAGATGATAGATAAGATCTAGAGCAGGTTACAGGTCAGGGAGAACACATTTTGCACCTTTAACATAAGCTTGTACGGGATTAAAAATACCATTCTGAAGATGTGTCTTGTGGAATTGGGTGTATGCTGTCAGTATAAAGGCTAATTGTTCCTGTCGTGTTTGATGGCCCTTGATATGGTGAAAACTGTTCTGTTGATTTATTCTCACACTAATAACTCCCCTTTTTGGTCACTGCATTAATTTTAGTCAGTTACTATCTTGCTTCTAAAGAATCTTTTAATCTTAATGGCAGATCATTTTTAGTTAGAAGTAACACATATCCTCTCCCATCTGGGTACTGACAGAGTTTGGAAAAGCAGTTATCTTTATAGTTTAAGAGACAGCTTGGTGTTATTGTTACACGTTGAAAGTTAAAGTTTTTAAGGTTGGGTGCAGTGGCTTACGCCTTTAATCCCAGCACTTTGGGAGGCCAAGGCGGGTGGATTTTCTGAGGTCAGGAGTTGGAGACCAGCCTGGCAAACATGGCGAAACCTCATCTCTTCTAAAAATACAAAAATTAGCTGGTGTGGTGGTGCACACTTGTTAACTAGCTACTCAGGAGGCTCAGGCGGGAGAATCACTTAAACCTAGGAGGCAGAGGTTGCAGTGAGCTGAGATTGCACCACTGTACTTCAGCCTTGGTGACAGAGCAAGACTCCATCTCAAAAAAAAAAAAAAAAGAAAAAGTTTTTAAGGTAATTTGGGAAATATATGTAGGGCAAAAGATCTGGAGATGGAAGTTGTCTCAGAAATAGAGTAGCACTGACATCAATGTCACCCAAGTGCTTTTTCCTGTTTGTGCCATTCCTCTGCCCAAATTCCTGTGAATGTCAATGTTTCTGGGATGTGACTCTGTAAACAAGGAAGTGGACTTAAACATCTGATCAATTTCTTACAGGTGCTGTAGATCAGTGGTCCCCAACCTATTTTGGCACCAGGGACTGGCTTTGTGGAAGACAAATTTTCCACGGACTTGGGGTGGTGAGGGTGGTTTCAGGATGATTCAAGCACGTTATATTTATGGTATACTTTATTTCTATTATTATTACATTGTAATGAAGTAATTATACAACTCACTGTAACGTAGAATCAGTGGGAGCCCTGAGCTTGTTTTCCTGCAAATAAATGGTTCCATTTGGGGATGATGGGAGACATCATCAAGCATTAGATTCTCATGAGGAGCATACAGCCTAGATCCCTTACATGGGCAGTTCACAATAGTGTTCACATTCTTATGAGAATCTCTTGCTGCCACTGATCTGACAGGAGATGGAGCTCAGGCAGTAATGTGAGTGGTGGGGAGCGTGTGTAAATACAGATGAAGCTTTACTCACTTGCCCACTGCTCATCTTCTGCTGTGTGGCCCAGGTCCTAACAGGCCACAGAGTAGTACCGGTCCATGGCCCAGGGGTTGGGGACTGCTGCCACAGATGGCTATTGTTCCTCATGCCTTGAGAACTGTATGCAGATCCCTTTGTCACTTTCTGTCTCATCCATCATTTTTAATATATGGAAGCAAACTGCTTTTATATTTAAAAAATAAAACTTTGACTAATTTTTGTTGTCATTGAACCGTAGCTTTTAACCTAAGAGTGTAATAGATTCTTAATTATATAACTGAAGACAGCTACAGTATCTAGCTATCTTAGTTAAGATACAAAAAGCTTTAAACATTGTTCTTACTCTTTTATTTAAAACCACCCATCGCCCAGTTTTCTTCATTTTAGCCGTTTGTAGAATAATTAAAGTGAAATAAAAGTTTGGCTTTAAATGATACCATGCACTGAAAAAGAGTTCCTGCATAATCCTTGGCACCAAAGGATGAACTCACACAGCTGAAGAAAATCATGTAATAGTGAGAGACGAAAAGAAAGTATATTATGTAAAAGAGAGAAGAAGCAGCTAGGAGTATTCTGAAAGAAGGGAAACAGCCATGCTGAGTTTTGACTCAGTATTATTTTTGTTTCTCACCTTAATCCTTACTGAATAGTGTTAGCTACCAAAAGGATGCATGGCTAAAGAATTGTGGGGCAGTTGGTATATTGGGCTAATTTGCCTATATCCTGAGATTTTACATTTGGTGATGGTAGCTTCTGTTTTCCCTCCTTCAGGGCATCCAGTTTTGTTTGCTAAAGTTGACTCCTTAGTTTCTTGGGGTATCTTTGTGGTAGTAGAATGGAAGTTATATATTAAGGCCAGCTGTATATGTGTTTCTTGGGTTCACAACCACCTTCTGTTCCTGCTACACGGAATCCTTTGGGGTTTAGGTGGGACTGGGCTATATACATCTTATTAATGGGTGGGCCCTCATTTTTTCCTTGGCATGCCTACTCAAAATTCATTTGGTTTTGTATGACTGAGTTGCCTCAGAAGGTCTGGACTAGGGCTCTTGAGCTCTTGTGGTAGAATCTGGCATGTATGTAGAGAGGTGTGTGCCCTACTATACCTCCTCTTTTCCCTTCATTAGTTTGTCATCTGTCTATTTTCATAGTGTTATTTGTTCAGACAACAAGCATTGGTAGGCCTGCTCATAGGTTTATAGGTGCTATTAGTATTCTAGGTGCTGAAGTATCTTATACAAGAGAAATAAGTCACTTCTTACAGCCTACTGGGATGTTCAAGATGCACATACATAAAAGTTAAGTAAATTTTCAAACAGTATGTGATTATGTGCCAAATGTGTGCTATAGCAATAATAACTCTAGGAGGCAGTGACTTAGCAGGTGTCTAATACATTTATTTTTTATTTATTATTGTTATTACTATTTTTGAGATGGTGTCTTCCTCAGTCGCCCAGGCTGGAGTGCAGTGGAGCGATCTCAGCTCATTGCAACCTTTGCCTCCCAGGCTCAAGCGATTCTCCTGCCTCAGCCTCCTGAGTAGCTGGGATTACAGATGCTCGCCTCCACACCCAGCTAATTTTTTGTATTTTTACTAGAGACGGAGTTTCACCATGTTGGCCAGGCTGGTCTTGCACTCCTGACCTCAGGTGATCTACCCGCCTTGGCCTCCCAAAGTGTTAGAATTACAGGCGTGAGCCACTGCGCCCAGCCACATTTATTTTTTATATGACTAAATGGATGGAGACAATTACTATGAAATGCAGTGGTCAAGAGAAGATTGGGGCTTGAGCCAAATCTTGGAGGATGGGTGTGGTTTTTATGGGACCATAATTGAGAATGACTTGGAATAATCCAAAGAGTGTGGCTGGTCTGATTTGAGTGGAGAGTCTCAGGATAAGTAAGTTGAAGTAGGATAGAGAGTGCTTTGAATGCTAGAGAAAGGTTGACCTGTAGCTGAACTCAGAAGCCCTCTGGTTTTTATTCACTCCAGCAAAGTTTGAGACTATGTACTTAGGGAAAGAAAAGAAAGAGCTATGGTTTGACAAGAGACTAATATTTTTGTGCCCTGTGTCTTATTGGTAAGATTCTTGAAGCGGCAAGTAACAAAGAAGTCTGATGACTGCAAATGCATTGACTATTTATTGACTTTTGTGTTAGATAACGTAGAAATTCATTGCTATAAATGTTAGGTTGTGACCTAGATGAAGCAAATAGGGACTTTGACCTTGCTTTTGCTTGAGTGCCTTCTGCCTTAACTCTTTAGAAAGGGACTTTTGGTAACAGAGAAGTACTTTGAAACATACTGAATAAATCAGCTCAGTTAATCTAGAATATTTGGGATGTACAGAAAAACATGTACTGGGAAATAATTTAATTGTCCGATAGAACTTTCTGCAGTGAAGGAAATGTTGCATATCTTTGTTGTCCAATTTTGTAGTCATTGGGCATTCATGGCTTCTGAACCCTTGAAGTGTGATTGTTATGACTGAGAAACTGAATTTTAAATTTTAAATTAATTTTAAAAATTTTAACTAAGTTTAAGTAGCCCTGTGTGGCTATTGGCTTCTGTATTGGATAGTACAGCTTTAGAATGTTTGTCAACCTTAATAGTACCAAGGTAGTGGTGAGAATTAAAATGCAATATAAAGGGCTCCAGAGCACCTAGCACTGGGCTTGGCATATAGTATATACCTAGTAAGTAGTTGCCTTTTTATCAAATTGAAACTTGGAAATGGTAAAAAATGAAATGTAGGTAAGGGGACAGTGTATAAAAACTATAAAAACTAGTGAAGTGCTGTAAAGAGCTACCCATAATTATTGGCACTTGCCCCAAATAGTGTCCTTCTGACCTGAGAATTTCATATTAACTTAATCCTCAGGGAATTTAGTGATCATCAGGGTAACATCTGTTCCATTCGTTTAACTGGAAGAATTGTTATCTGTAAGCTTCTCAGAGGAAAGTTGATGGTTTGTACTTTTGCTCCGGCAAGTAACATGGGAAGCAAAATCTTTAACACACATTTGTTTTTTTTCTTAGCTTGAAGGATGCCAATGATGTACCAATCCAGTGTGAAATCTCTCCTCTTATCTCCTATGCTGGAGAAGTAAGTCTGCTTTACCTTTTCCTCTATTCTTTGGCAAAGCTTTGTATATTTCAAAATAACGAAAAGGTGGATTTTAAATGTTCTCACCACAAAGAAAGGATAAGTATTTGAGGTGATAGGTATGTTAATTGGCCTTATTTGATTATTCTACAGTGTATACATGCATCGCATCATCACATTGTATCTCAAAAATATATACAATTATTGTCAATTAAAAATGAAATAAAGTTGGGCACAGTGGCTCACTCCTGTAATCCCAGTACTTTGGGAGGCCGAGGCAAGTGGGTTGCTTGAGCTCAGGAGTTTGAGACCAGCCTGGGCAATATAGTGAGACCTTGTCTTTATAAATGAAAAAAAATAACAAAAAAAAGCAATAAAACTTTTTTAAAAAGTAGAATTCTGGCATTGTTTTATGTTTAAGTAGGGATGCCCTTAGAGAAGATGCAGTATTTTCTGATGGTCCTGCCCTGAGGAGCTCTTCCTGGGAACAAGTTCAGAAACTGCATTTGTTCTGAATTCTTCTCTTTGAGAATTCCTGTTATGGCTTTGCATCTATCCCATAAGTGAGTTAGTTGCCATTAACAGACATCTACAATAGCTAGTCCATTTCACCCACTCATTGAAATGCAGTAGGCTTTTGAAAAATATATAGTCACCCTTGTTTTTTAGATAAATCATCTGGCTTTTAAAAAATGCAATGTAACTTTTCTTTTAAGGAGTCTAGCTTGTTCATGTACTTAGTACTGTCCCTTTTGGGTGACAGTACTTGGGGATTTAGAGGTCTCTACTCTTTTAATTATGTAATATTTTTCCTGGAGATCTTTGTATTGCTTTGTTGTAGCATTAGAGACAACTTTCTTGCTTAGAAAGTTAACTCTGTTGGCCGCTTGTGGTGGCTCATGCCTGTAATCCCAGCACTTTGGGAGGCCAAGGCAGGTAGATCATTTGAGGTCAGGAGTTCGAGACCAGCCTGGCCAACATGATGAAACCCTGTCTCTACTGAAAAATACAAAAAATTAGACGGGTATGGTGGCAGGCGCCCGTAGTCCCACCTACTCAGGAGGCTGAGGCACGAGAATTCCTTGAACCTGGGAGGTGGAAGTTGCAGTGAGCAGAGGGGTGAGACTCCTCCGTCTCAAAAAAAAAAAGTTAATTTTGTGAGAGGTGATTGTAGGAAAAATGATTATCATCTTATTAACTGTAGAAATGATAATCAGAGTAATTTTCTTTTTATATTTTTGTTTTGTGCTTTTACAAGTCAGTCATTAAGTCTACTCTAAAACGTATAATAAATAGATTTTGACTTTTATGTTCTGCATCTCAACCTTTTTTGGCATTTGTGCTTTAAATCATCATTATAGCAAGTCCAGCATTGCATGACAAGTGCAGATTTTCTAATTGTGTTTCATTTCAATCCTCTTTTTAGGGATTAGAAAGTTATGTGGCAGATAAAGAATTCCATGCACCTCTAATCATCGATGAGAATGGAGTTCATGAGCTGGTGAAAAATGGTATTTGAACCAGATACCAAGTTTTGTTTGCCACAATAGGAATAGCTTTTATTTTTGATAGACCAACTGTGAACCTACAAGACCTCTTGGACAACCGAAGTTTAAATATCCACAGGGTTTTATTTTGCTCGTTGAACTCTTACAGCTATTGCACACTTCCCAGGATCCAGATGACTCAACTGCAGATAGCATTTTTATGATTCCCAACTCATTGAAGGTCTTATTTATATAATTTTTTTCCAAGCCAAGGAGACTATTGGCCATCCAGGAAATTTTGTACAGCTGAAATATAGGCAGGATGTTCAACATCAGTTTACTTGGAGCTGGAAGCATTTGTTTTTGAAGTTGTACATAGTAATAATATGTCATTGTACATGTTGAAAGATTTCTATGGTACTAAAAGTTTGTTTTATTTTATCAAACATCAAGCTTTTTTAAGAAAATAATTGGGCGGTAAAATAAATGTGTCTTCTTGTCCCTGGAGTGTCATTTGTACTTGAAGAAATTATTTCATTGAGAAAATATGAAACTTGGGAGAAACTTTAAGAGAATGCATAAAAACAAATCGATGATTCAGTGAGGCTGCAGAGTCATAGAACTTCTTTCAGTGAATGTCTAACTTTGGGCTTTCTCTTCTTATCACTTTATAGTAGTAGCTCTCACTCAAAGATTATTTTGTCCCCCTCCCAAAGGGCCATTTGGCAATATCTGAAGATATTTTTGGTTGTGACAAGTGGGAAAGTGAAATGGTACCACTGGCATCTAATAGGGACTAGGGATGTCACTAAACATCCTACAATACACAGGACAGTCTCCTACGACAAAGAATTGTCTGGCCTAAAGTGTCAATGGTGTCAAGGTTGAGAAACCTTGTTTCAAATTATTCATTTACTCTGTTTTGCTCAAATATTTGGTGGCACTTAGGAATTCAAAAGAATATAGTTTCTGAATTTTCTGTGGTAGGCTATTCCAGTTTTTTGTTACTGTAATTGTTTTGGAGGATTAAAAAAAAAAAAAGACAAAGGTGGTTCTTTAAATATGGGCCATAGATCATTGGTCATTAGTAAGGGTTCTGTGTGTCTAAAATGCTGTTTGTTTGAAAAGACTGAGCTTTTTAAATGCATCTTAAATAATATTTAAGTATTGACAAAAAGTATAAAAATGAACATCTGGATAAATGATTATGAAAATTATATCTAGAAAAGAGATGAATAAATTTTATTTTCCACTAACAAGTTGTCACAAGATAGGATGCCATTCATGGGGTGGGTCTTTTGTTTAAGGATCACTTTTTTTTTTTTTTGAAGAGCATGTGATGTTGACATCCATCAATCTTATCTAAATTTTTTTTTTAACTAAGGCCTAAATTGTTCATTTAGCATATTTTCTATTTTATTTCAATAACAGCTCAATTTTGCTATTGTTATCTATTCTAGTTTTCAGAAAGATTAGTGAAGTTTGACTTCTTTTTGAAATGAGCTCCAAACGGGTTGTAAGAATGGAATTGCAGAGTTTTTAGCTCCTGAATGCCAAAAACTGGTACTAATGGTGTGATCCATTTCTTTTTTTCTTGAACCTTGCTATTTCCACTGCTATTTCCGCCTGCTATTTCTTCTCCCCTTGTTATAAGAACATACTAGTGACACCATGAAAAGGGAAGAATGGAAGCCTGGGATTGTATAGTGGTTTTGTTGGAGAGGAGCGATGGCTGGGGAACATTGGGTAGTTAAGAACAAACTCTGAGAGCCTCTGAACCATGGAATGATGAGGTGATAGCATTATGTATCTTTATAAGTTCTTGTTAAATAATTGTCACAATTCAGAAAATATAGAATTGGGTAAAATGTTTATGAAAATAAAAGCTAGAATAATTTGGCAGTAACAGTATAGAATTTATGTGAGAGCTGATAGTCATTTTGAGTCTGGCTTGATTGGCTGGCTGTGATTTAATAACTTTTTTGATAGTCACAAGTGAACATATAAGCCCAATGGGTATGTTACTTGAATATTTGATTTTTGTTCAATTTCCCTCTTACCTCTCAAATTTAATCCAGTTTTGATGTCCACAAAGGAATTATTAGTGACATCTATTGGAAGACAAAGAAAAATTACAGTTTTCAACTTCTACCTCTTGTATTCCTGGAAGTTTTGGCATTTATTGGTAATTTTGATTTTATTTCTAATTCCAGCTTACTGTTGCTAACTTTTCCTCTTTATTCATCATAGTACAGTCAGATTTCAGTTATCCAGGTAAAAAGAGGGAAGGAAAAAGCATGCATACTCTAGAAGAGTGACTGAAACACAAATCATTCAGTTAGTTTGGAAATCTGTTTTTCTGTTGGCCAACGTGGACGTTTTTGCAATTCATGGTCCTATTTTGAACCCTGGTTTAGGAAATACATCCTGGGAAGTGATGAATGAATGAGTTAGCCAATAAGGACTGAGTGCTTGCTTGTCATGTGGTCAGCAGTATTAGATGGGGTATAAAAAGTATAACACAGAGACTTGTCCTTAAAAAACTTACATTCTGGTTAAAGAGACAAAATTAACCCACATAAAATGAAAATATAATTTATTACTAAAATGTAAGGAATTAAGCTCAGTAAGAATTAACAAAGGCAATCATAAATTGGAGTTTAGCATGTCCTCATCGAAGGATCTCATTGTATTAGGGTTCTCTAGAAAAACAGAACTGATAGGATATTAAAAGTAATGGGAAAAACTGCAATTACTTTTGCACCAGCTGAAATATATAGTTATATGAAAGATTTAATTACGAGGAACTGGCTTGTGATTATGGAGGCTAAGACCCATGATCTGCCCTCTGCAAGCTGGTGGTGTGGTTCCAGTCCAAATCCGAAGGCCTGAGAACCAGGGGAGCCAATGGCGTAAGTCTTAGTCTGAGTCTGAAGGCTGGAGAACCAGGAGTGTAGATGTCCAAGGGCAGGAGAAGATGGATGTCCCAGCTCAAGCAGAGCCAGTTCACTCTTCCTCTGCCCTTTTGTTTTATTCAGGCCCTCAATGTATTGGATGCTGCCCACCCACACTGATGAGGGCAGTCTTCCTTACTCAGTCTCCTGACTCAAATGTTATTATCTTCTAGAAACACCCTCAAAGACACACCTAGGAATAATGTTTTACCAGCTGTCTGGGCATCCCTTAACCCAGTCAAGCTGACACATAAAATTAACTATCACATCCATCATTTTGAGAGTAGAGCTATTCCCTTCCCAAATTGGGGTTATATGTTTATATATACTAACAAGAAAATATACCTCAATAATTCTAACATGTATTACGAAAAATCAGTGTGGTTTTTAGTAATCAGACCATGTTTTTCTCATAGTAGGCACTCAAACATTTTAATTAGGGTTTATTGGGTTTAATTACCTTTTTTCTTTTTTCTTTTTTTTTTTTTTTTGAGATGGTGTTTCATTCTTGTTGCCCAGGCTGGAGTACGATGGCATGATCTTGGCTCCCTGAAACCTCTGCTTCTCGGGTTCAAATGGTTCTACTGTCTCAGCCTCCCTGGTAGCTGGATTACAGGCACCTGCCACCATGCCCAGCTAATTTTTTAGTAGAGACGGGATTTCACCGTGTTGGCCAGGCTGGTTTTGAACTCCTGACCTCAGGTGATCCACCCACCTTGGCTTCCCAAAGTGCTGAGATTACAGGCGTGAGCCACGGTGCCCGGCCAGATTTAATTACCTCTAAGTGCAAATGTGTATTGTGATTTAGAAGTGGATCATGAAGGAAGATTTATAATTATTTTGGGGAGGAAAGGGGTCCCTTAACTGCATCAAGTTGCCAGGTGATTGATGCCCAAAATATGGGGTTCATTAGGAAATCTATAACTGATATTTCTAAGTGTGGTCGCCTGACCAGGTACATCAGCATCACCTGGAAACTTGTTAGAAATACAGATTCTCAGAATTACTACATTATGCATTTGGGGGTGCAGCCTAGAAATGTGTGTTTTAACAAGCCATCTGGGTAATTTTGGTGTACATTAAGACTTGAGAATGATCACTGTAAGAGGACTTGGGGAGGCTGACCGAAAGTTCAGAGATGTTCCTGTGTTGATTTGTTTAAGGTAATGGCCTCCAGCTGCATCCATGTTACTGCAAAGGACATGATTTCATTCTTTTTTTTTTATGGCTGTATAGTATTCCATGGTGTATATGTACCACATTTTCTTTATCCAGTCCATCTCTGATGGACACCTAGCTTGATTCCATGTTTTGCAATTGTGAATAGTGCTGTGATGAACATACAAGTACATGTGTCTTTTTGGGTGAACAATTTATATATTTTTTAGATATATACACAGTAATGGGATT